GAGATGATTAAATTCAAAGCAGCAAAACATACGGAAATGATCCAGGGTTTCCGCGGATCATTTAAAATAATTACAATCCATTATATTTGGGGGGATTTTTTCATTAATTTCATAAATTTTTATGGGATTTCAGTGTAACAATCAACATATACCGAATCGAACCGAACCGAAAACCGTGACTACGAAACCGTGAATCGAACCGAACCGTGGATTTTGTGAACCGTTCCACCCCTAATAGATAGATATCGTGATCCCACTTGGGATAAGCGAGACGGAAAATGGGTGGATGGATAGATGGTAGATATATATGCAAATAGAGAGAAAAAAAATTTATTTTTAAAATGATTCCCCTACAAATAATGACCTGTTCTGTGCCGTCATTATTTGAAGAATGTGTTGGTCTCTGATGTGATAAAAAAAGAAAAAAATGTTGCGTCATGTAAAATGCTAAAGCTAAAACTTTACATCACCATGAGCACATATCATGAAACACGGTGGTGGCAGCATCATGCCTTGTAGATGCTCATGCTTAGATGAACTCTGGAAGCTGATCTGGGTTGATGGAAAGTTGAAAGGCGATAAAAGTTGGGCAGACCTGAAAGTTCCCCTTCAGCTTGTTTAGACCAAACCACATTAATTTGAACTGTTCAGTCAAAGTTCAGACTTAAATTCAGTTGCTATTTATGTGAAGACTTAGAAATGCACATAATATTCAAATGTTATTTCCATTTATTCCATGATTGAATGTGATTTTTTATTTTTCATTAAAGATGATTGAACAAACCTTTAGGTTTTTAAATGTATAAAAGCTGGTAGATATTTAGCGACACAATTATTGTAAAATATAATGGTTCACCGTATGTACTAGAGTTGGCTTGAATCCAAAAAATAAACCTTCCAGATTCTGGATTATTTGTTTAAAAATAATCCCTTTTCCCTCTAATTCACAATAATGCACTCCTTTGTGTCATTCTATTACATAAAATCCCAGTTGAGAACATTGAAGCTTATTTTCTACCGCAGCAGAAGGTGAAATAATTCTAGAGGTTTGAATGCTTACGGAAGGCTCCACATATGCTTATTTAAGCTTATAAAATCTGATGCCATCCATAGAAGCTTATTTTTTTGTTTTTGTCATCCCTCAGCTGCTGCCCAACTGAAGAATACCGCATATATTGTTTGTTTTCCTTCCTTTTGAGATCTCTGTGGCACTAAATAACACAACTACACTGTATGAATGGTTTTAGTCCGCTGGGTTTATCCAGTAGTTTCCTCATTTCACCACACGAGGCATCACTTAGACTTTAAAGACAAGAAACATTTAATATCCAGTCACTGTCTCTCCATTTCTGGCAAGGAGATCTCAGTAATCTGCTCTAATGCTGCTAAACTTTAAACAAACATTGCATAAGTCGTCCAAATAATTTAACATCTGCTGCTACAGTTTATGAAGAACTGCTCTGAGATAAAGTCCATTCTGTTGCTTTATTACACCTGCTTTAATGTGTCCGACTGGATGTTAACAAGGAGCGTTTATTAGGAACAGCTGAGTCCTGTAAACATCTCAATGTCTTATTCAGCTTTTAACTTCCTTCATATGGGCTCTCTAATGGGTTTGTACCAGGACACACACACCTAAATGTGTTTCAGGGCGTTAATATGAGGCAGAAACAAGCAGTCATTACGTTCAAAGGGACAAGATCGGGCCCCAAAAGTGCATTAACAGCTTGTTTTAGCTGGTGATTAAGGTGGATTTTGTGCAGAATTTTCCCCTAAATGCACCACTCCAATAAACCTGCAGCACCTGCTAAACAGTTATTGGTGGACAGATATATCAGCCTAAATCAGGTTTTATCAAGTTAAAAATACTGTTTAGTTATTCTAAAAGAAAACTAATCAAAAGAATGCAAGTTTTCTATGTTGTTGTTCGGGTTGATTAAAAAGTTAAAGGCCAAAATAACTGACCTGATCAGGCAGGATTAGTGAGCTTTGTTTTTCTCGTACTAGAAACATACGACAGGTTTCAACACAGATTGTATGCTTTTAACTTTTAAAAGATACATAACCTGATGTTTTATATATAAGATCTGTCTGAGCTTGTCTTCAAATTAACTTTTTATCATTTTTAGGAGAAATAAAATTTTAAAAGGTCTAATTCGGAGCCCTAGTCATAACCCTTTTCTTTCTCAATGGTAAGCTCTATAATTTGACTTGTGTGCACGGTCATGTGGATGTAGCTTTAGCAACATTAGCAGTGTGCTATGGTTGGTTCACAACTATTTTCTTGTCTATTACACCAGCGGTCCCCAATCTTTTTTGCGCCACGGACCGGTTATATGTCAGACAATATTTTCACGGACCGGCCTTTAAATTGTGCGGGGTAAATACGATCAAATAAAATGATACGACTGGCATAAGATCAAATACAAACAGTCAAATACAAACAGTTGGGCTTGTTTCTCCGAAACAAGCCAGTCCCATCTAGGCGTAATCGGAGACAATGGTACACGAAGTGTGCTCCTGATGTCCAGTCTGCTCCGTAGCTTTGTTTTGGTCGCTGTAACCGCAGAAAATCCCGCTTCACAAAGATAGGATGTTATAGATAGGATGCGTCTTGACCTGAATTAACCTGTGTCAAGAGGCATAGATGCACCGACTGATGCAATTGGGAGAGAATACCCCAATTTTTTATATTTTTCAAAATAAAACATCACTCAGACTCTGATCGTTCATAAATAATATATATATAAAAAAATTTTTTTTTTCTGTGCGGCCCGGTACCAAACGACTGACGGACCGGTACCGGTCCGCGGCCCGGTGTTTAGGGACCCCTGTCTTACACAATATGTAAAAAGTCAAACAAGTAGCAAAGCAACGCGTACTGACTGTACTGCAGGTTAGTCCCAGACTGTTGGAATCTCCCCTTTGGCAAACATTTGCACCCTTCCATGAATGACATAAATTAGGTAGGACTAAAATCACAATCTGTATAAAACACTTTTACACTCTCAATCGTCCAACTGGTTTTAAAGGAGGCTCAAAACCAACAAACACGTTTTACATGATGGATAAAGTTGGAGTAAACAGTGGAAATCAAAAGGATCCAAACTGTAACAGGTATCAATCAGTTTGGAGTCCTCTTTGGATTTTTCTAAACTGATGGACAACTATCTGATAAACATCTAAAGAGTTAAATTCTGCTTGTATCACCTGATTTTAATTATTTTAGCACAACATGCAGTCTAAACACTTCTATTTTAGCTTTGTTTGGTTACTTTTTTCAGTAGAGTTGGTTGTTCAGCTGATACCTAAATGTTGGGGCTAACTGATAGCATTGGGTTCATCATAGGTGTCTACCTGGAATTTCATTTATAATAAGATGCAAATATTGCAGCTGATATAGATTTTGACCAGATATGATATTGGAATGATTATACCAACTTTAATTATTTATTATCTAGCGTGGGATGTCAAAAAAGGCTTAATCAATGGATATTTCTCAATAGTTACAACAGGAATGAGAACAGCTGACCAATTTTTTTTTATCAACCAATGGATTACTTTAAAAAAAAATGTGGATAGAAGTGGAATTTTCCTATCAGCTTGCTTATATTGAGGCCAAAATATTCAGATATACGTTTTTTGGATGATATCGGACTGATTTCTGATATCGGATCAGGTGACCTTAAAAAAGTTTTTTTTGTTGTTGTTTTTTATTAAAAGAAAACTCAGTTTCCTTATTTATATAAACAGAGACCTTTTACATTGAAACCTTTTGTTTGAAGGATCGATTTTTGGTTTTTATGGAAAAACATTTAACAACAAAATAGTAAAACAGTTAGAAAAGCTGGCCATGCGCTTTAGTTGTATGGATGATAAACTATTGTAAAATAAATTGATTTTCTTTATAAAAAAATAAAACAAAAACATAAACGAAAGGACAGTGGAGCAAAGTGTAGCTCTGCCCTCGGTGGCGTCCGTGAATAATTTGGTCAAACGCCCTATCGGTGATCTTTACTCCACAGCAGACATGAAAAGTTAAAAATGAATGTTCTGAGCTGAAATTAATTTGTATGACAAAGATTCTGCTCAGAAAGATCCCTGCAATAAAACCTTGTGCAAATGACTCCAATTAAGCCTTTGACTAATGGCAGAGCAGGTGCAAATTGTAGCCCATATCCACAGATGTCATCCGTGTGCAAAGAGCCTGAATGGAGGAATAAAGTTAGTCAAAGTGAAGATTATCCAGATACAATTTAAAATGAAAAAAAAAGTCCATCATCATTCTGCTATTTTACTTCTCCTTCTTACAGCAGCAGAGCATAGAGCTTATATAATTATACCGGAAGATAGTTCCTCCACTTGGCTCTTTGTAGGCTGTCCAGATTAGCTGATGCCAGCACGACAGTATCTACTGGAAGAAAAGGGCCTTTTTTTCCTGTTTTCCTTTGCTGATGCTTTCCCTCTGTTTTTGTGTCTGTGTGTTTTCTCTGCCTGTCTCTTACAGATTCTTTATGCGTGGATTAACTGAAAGCCATGTTGACTGTACCACGCATTGGCACCTATCTTCTCATAGGGACTCAGGATGGAAAAGAAATCTTACACTTGCATGCATCCAGTAAAAGGAGCCATTCTGTCATTCATCACAGCTTCAGAGCGAGCGCACGCTTTATAGATTCAGATGCGAACGCAAACATTCAGGCACCTTCGCCCCATTCAAACAGGCGCCGTTTTATGCTGAACGGACCCGGTTTTAAAAAAATGAGAAATTGTTAAAATAGTGTCACATTCGCTGTTTGGCCCATATTCTAAATGGCATTCTGAGTGGGTAATTTTAGCTGAGGAATCACAACATAAATGCTGCAGCACTCAAACTGCTTCAGTATCTCCCCGTATTCTCCGACGTACATTTCTAACACTCTCCTGGGGAAGTGCAATTTTCCTGAAGTAGTCTGTTCCATGGTCTCAATTATCTACTTTGTGGCAGACGGAGGACATTTAAACTGTGCTGCAGCGCGCGCTTTTGTCTCAGCTAATTGTTGACATCGGGGACGTGTGCCGCCGCGGCTGCCGGCATACAGATTTCCATCCGCTGCACCTGAAGGAGGCTGCCTCTGACCTTCAAAATAGATTTGCTTTTTTTGTTATTTTGTTATTTTTCATGAGTACAGTTTGTCAAGTGGGCTGGCTCCCTTTGTGGGATGACAAAAGCAGTGTTCAGTCAGAACAAATGAGGCTGTCCCCCACATGCTCACACGCCCCTCTCCTATTTCTCTCCCTTTTGTTGTTATTTGCATTAGGAATCAGCCTGCTCATTCCTCCCGAGGCCATCCCCAGAGGAAAGATCTATGAGATTTATCTCACTGTTCAGCGGAAGGAAGATTTAAGGTGGGTCTCTTTAGCGCTGTCTAACTGGCAGTCTTCCCTGAATGCCACTAGGCTGTTTGTTTTGATGCTCTACTGTTCCATTAGGAACGGCTTAAGAGGCTGTGCCAGTACTGCGGAGGAGGGATGTAAATAAATAACATAGCCTTTTACAAGGATGTGCACTGTTTAAGTTAAATGAATTGTTTGGAAAGCAATGTTTATCTGGCTTACTGCACTCATCCTCTAGAAGCCCGGCCAATGCGGCCTGCTGAGATAGTATTATAATGGAAGCCAGTCTCCCAAATTTGGCCCAGCTCATCTCTGAGTCCGGCAGGTTTTAATTATTCTGCATTCCAGCTGCTGGCTAATTTGAAGGGGTGACAGTATCATACCCTGCCACAAAGAGAGCAGTAAATTCCCACTAATATCTAAATAATTGCAAGCACTTCATCTTAACACATTCACGCCTCTCCCTGCTCCTGCTGTAGGTTACCGCTGGCCGGCTGCCAGACCCTGCTGAGCCCCATTGTGAGCTGCGGCCCTCCAGGGGTGGTCCTGAGTCGGCCTGTTATCCTCAGCATGGACCACTGCTTTGATGCGTGCCTCGATAACTGGGCCGTCCGCCTCAAGAAGCAGAACTACGAGGGCGCTTGGGAGGTGAGACTACACTGCAGCTCAAGCACAAATCCTTTTGTAGGAAGACAAAGCCGCTAGTCAGTGCTACTGTGAAGTATTACTGAACTTATTGATTGTTTCTGTGTGAAAAATACAAACTTTTTCGGCTTGTGTCTTGAAATGCACACCACCATCCCACCACCACCAGCACTCCTCCACGGTGCAAATTGGAGCGTACTTACATCCTACATTTTTTTTCATATTTAGCCACTTTTATTTCAAACGTTAAAATGTAATTTTTGGGATTTTATTTTATCGAGCAACAGGAAGAATTGTATAATTAAGAAGTGAATGGGAAAGAGGTGCCTTTCAAGGGCTTCACCAACGAAAATCTTAGAGTTGTTTCGTTTTTCTGCAATTGCAACAGCTGATGTTTTGGCATAAGGTATTTTCAGATCTATACACTTTATTTCACAGAAATCTGACTGTACATTCCCATTTAGACTCTGCCTTGACCATTCTAATACAGAGTCTCCTTTGCAGCTCAGGTTGTGTATTTTGGCCTGTTGCTCTAATAGAAGGTTAAACTGTTGCAAACATATAGCTTTTCTTTCATAATCACCCTCAATTCATCCATGTTCACATCTAACCTGAAGCCGCCAGATGGATTTGCTCAGCATATCCATATGGAAACCTTCTGTTGAAGTAATTTTGGGAAGGGGCGAAAATACTGGTTAGCTGATTGGCCTATATTGGTGATAGACGGGCCAAATAAACCAATCAGATCAACGAAGCATATGACGAACTAACAGAGCGACGACGAAAACACAACCACAAGCCAGACTAATCTTGCCGAAGCCAGTCAGGAGAAGAGCAAAAACATCTTTTCCTCTGAGAAAAGCCTCCAGAGCAGTGTTTTGCTCTTCTTTCAGTGAAGAAATACTCTGTAATTCCGATAAAACTTGCTCGATAGCCACGCTAACGCTAGTTTCATCGGCTGAAGCCGCCATGTTCTTTAGACTGAACTGTCGTGCTTCTCGTTGCGTCACACCTCAACCCGCCTCAAAGCCAACGCTGATTGGACGTTCGTTTGGTGAACGGCTCCAAATTTTCTTCAACTGAGAGTCTCCAGACTGATCTGCGAGTGAAACCTTGAAAGCTCCCGAGATCAGGATGGTCTCACGAGGCTAGTTCACATCAACCTCAGACCAAAATTCCCTGTCCCACAGCATGATACCCCACCTCCATGTAGGGCTGGACAATATTGCAAAAGCTTATATTACAATATAGTTCATAGTTTTCTTCAATATGACATCATTTGGATATCAATCTAAACTATATGAGCCTCTGAAAGACCACCAGGAATGCCCCCAACAGATGCCTGTGCAATATTATTTTGCAGACTCCAAAAGATCTGCCAATAATATGCATCAAACATTTTTTTTGTTTGTTTGGAGCTAAAAGCTTAACAGATTAAATGAACACATAACCGGGTGATTATTTCACTCTCCTCATATTTTAGTCCAAGGGTTCTTGTCTCCTTTAGTTTCTCTTTCTTTGCCTCCCACGTCTTTTTGTGATCAACATTCATATGTTCAAGAAGACCAGTCCAACTCCTGATAAACCTTTATTGACACTATAGGCAGAACTTTACATGTTTTATTTTTTGAAATCATCAAGTTTCCCCTTTCATAAATAGTGATCACTACAGTGTACAATTTTTGTGTTACTCTATATATTTGGCTTCAACTGCTTTGTTGGTATATGGATTTTTTTACAGCATTAAATGCATAAAGTACACTTGAGTGGACAGATAAATATTTCTTTATAGAATAAAGATTTAAAAAAAAAATTCAAACTGTGTCTTACATTCCTAAGGATGTATAAAAACACAAAAAATCCTGATAGTTTATCATAATTTCTGCACCAAACCATGAATGAATTATGATAACCTAACCATGCTTTAAACTGACCCCTCCCTTTCTCCTTCACCTGATGATTTTGGTTTACTAATGTTTTCTTACAAACTTCTAAAGTCAGCTGAGATTAAATTACGTACACACAACTGAACTCTATGGACTACAGGTGACTTAAGAGGGAAGATTGGTTGCACTTGATGTTATTTAGGATTATTCCAGTAAACAGGGTTAAAAACCAGAGGTGGGACCAAGCCACTGTTTTGCAAGTTTCTAGTTAGCCTTATGTCTTTAGCCTCAAATTAATGGACTGTATGCCCAACTCCACTACCTCCTGAATTTCAGCCAGCTCCTTTGTTTCTTGTTTTTTATTGCTTGACAGTAGTGGCTGGCCAATGTTGTCATGGTTACTGAGGTCAGACACACAGATTAATCAGCAGGTCCTGCAATGTAAGAAACCAAGCAGCAGGCTAGTTCATTGAATAGTGGAGCTGTGATATAACCCATTCACAAGCAAATACAGTAAAGTCAGAGTCGACTCTGAAGCAAATCCAAGTCTGTTTTTTATTATTTTTTAATTTTCAACAAATTTTAATCATACATTAAATGGAAATAATTGACTATGTGTGTTTTTTTTTTACTGATTCTATATCATTAAATGAATAAACCTTGACAACTGAAGATTTGCTACTGAGAACAATTTTAAGTCTTGTTCACAAACGCTCATAGTTGATGTCAGCTATCTCATCTTAGCAAAAGAAAATCACCAAATATAATTTTTTATGCAACTTCAAATGTTGGACAAAAGTTGGAAATTCTTCCATCCCTTTGTTTCATGTTTGCATTTTGCATTCCCTTCTTTATAAAGTACTTTGAAGTTTATCTACCCCTAAAAATTTACTCTTCTAGGGAATATTTGTGATTTTAAATAAATCTGATCAATTTGATTGACTCCACTGCAGCTCAACCACACATAACTAGAGAGAGATGGTCTGAGTTTGCTAATAGGGAATGAATGAAATTATATAATGGTGCTCATCATTTTAATAGCAGGTGTTTTGGTAACACTACAATAACTGTCATAGCCATCATTTATAAATGGTAAAGAGACCATTTAGTAATGATTAACAGTTTATTAATATTTGATGATCATTTATAAACAAAACCATACATATAAAAGCTAAATAGATCTTTTTGCTCCCGCCATGCTACTTTAGCCCTAACCCTAACATCTTTGGGCTTAAGACCTGAACTTTTAGAATTAATTTAACTTACCCTGTCGTGTTGCACTTACCCTAACCTGTCCTTAGTGGGCTTAAAACCTTAATAAATGATCTTATTACCTTTTATAAATGCTTTATATGCAGTTTATACATCAGAATCAGAAATACTTTAATAATCCCAGAGGG